TCATACTCGCACGCAAGCCAACATATCACGCGCGCATCCTTAACATAAGGAAATAACACATTAGAAACAGCTTTTGACGGCTACCCTCAATATGAGAGCTAGGCGGCGGCGTACTAATTGACCGTTTAATCCCTTACTTAAGCACGTTGCAACTTATTCTTAAATTAACGGTTGTTTACAAGGCTTATTTGTGAGCGAAATCCTATCCCACTTCTGATTTTAGCAACCAGAAGTGATAATTTAGAAAAAAACAATTCGAAATAACCTACGAAGTGATTTAACCAAAAATAACTTCATTAAAGAACAAATCACGGTATTCTCGAAATCACACTAAATCTACCTTAAAATTAACTTACACAATCAAAACAACACGACTTTGGGTATTTTAAAAACAACCATTAACCTTAAAACAATTACACAAAACCCATCGAATAAAAATAACACAGAACGTACTCACAGTATGCGGCCTCGACACCAACCACTTTTCTTGTCAACGTTCGAGTAACAACAGATCCCGTGGCACACTGAGGCCTTTCTTTTATAGAAGGCGGGTGGGGATCGAAACCACCCACTATGATTTCTGCTTGATGAATTTGTAATAAACAAGTTTCGTGAAATTACGTGAACTCGTTCCACGACCGAACCCGAATCGACCACAGAGTCAAACGGCAGTCATAGAAACGAGTGTCAAAGATTTCTTTAGGAGTCATTATTATTATCGACCATTGAATAGTCGTTAATTTATATATCTAGCAACTTTGGCAAATTAAATAAACCATTTGTATTAACGGCCTCGAACAAATTCGACATTATTAAATGACAATGACAATGACAGCTGACACTAACACAATTTCTTCAATATTTATTATAAAGACTACAGACTATCAAATAGTCGTTAAGTTGCAGATCCATTAATATTGGTAAATAAAATAAATCATATAACGGTTTTCAACTAATTTGACCCCGATATTACCAAATGATGATGAATGACAATTCCTTAAACATAAATAATAAATGCTATGAATTTACCACAGACTATCAATCCTTAATTATCTTAAATATATATAATTGTTTATCTTAAATATATTTATTTACTTTAATTAAATATCAATCTTTATATTTTTGTTACAATATATTTTAAATGGGCTTCATGGCATTGCAATCGGTGATTATCTTATAACTTATACCAACCAGGTAATGCCGAAAATGTTGCTGATCCTTGACGACCGCCAACGTTTCTAATTCATAATATGAATGGTATTTGGGGTCCGCGCCCTGGGTGACCATACTAAAATATGCTACTACTCGTTTATTACCATCCGTGTGCACGAGCACGGCGCCATATATATCATATGTTTTTTTTACTCCAAAGAAATTTCTTCTTTCAGATTTGAGGCATGGGAATCGAATGTGGAGGACTTATGGGTCACCTTACATATAAATATTAATAAAATAATAAATTTCGATATGTGTAGTATACCTGCCTCCTCCTGTAAAGATTGGGACTTTGACACATTTTTTAGACAGCGTTGACAGAGCTTTAAACCTAAGCGATGGCGTCATTATTCTAGGTGATTTCAATCTAGGGTTAATTAATTGGAGATCGCCAAATAATGAAGTTTTTATGACACCTTGTAATTATAGCAATACACTTGGCTTTGCCTTGATTGACTTTATGTCTATGAATAGCCTAAAGCAATTTAATAGTATAGGTAATAGCGATGATCGTTTCTTAGATTTAGTATTAAGTAATATGTCTAGTATTAATGTATCAGCCCCCTCCGACTCGTTAAGTAAAATATAGGCGAATCATCCTAGTTTATTGTTAATTATTGAATATTCTAAAATATCTTTTTTGCGAACGAGAGGTAACACTAAACTTAACAATATTGTGTCTATAATAGGGGATCTGAAAACCATTGATTGGAATGATAGCCTACGCTCTCATGATGATGTTAATGATATGGTATCTGAGTTCTACAAAATTCTTAACACCACTATAAGCAAATTTGTTCCTAAAACGTCCATCACGAAATCTAAGTATCCGGTGTCGTTCAGTTCTTCCTTAATAAAATTACTTGCTGAAAAAAAACGTAAGAGGAATCGAATATACAAGAATCCTCGAGACGAAATAGAGTATCACATTATTAGAAAACGTTGTCACAAACTGTATGATGATTGCTACACTAAATATAAGCGAAACATTGAGGCAAGTATTTATAATAATCCTAAATGATATTGGAGTTTTATAAAAAATAGGAAAGGTGGTCAGTCATCGCTTCCCTCTTGCATGAAAATGGACAATGTTATAGCCCAGTCATCACCTGATATTGCTAATCTTTTTTCATATCAACTTTCATCTGTATATACTTGTGATGAATCACTTGTTGGCAGTTCCACCCCAGACAACATTGGCAATGTTGACGGCCTAATGTCCCTTAGCTTTAGAGAAGATGAAATATCTAAGAAAATAAAAGGTCTTGATACTAACAAAGGAGCTGGGCCAGACTGGATTCCTCCTATCTTTGTAAAACGATGTAGATTTGTGTTATCTTTGCCCCTAACTATTATTTATAATTGATCTCTTAAAGATGGTGTTTTTCCCGAAGTATGGAAAAGGTCTCGCGTTGTACCTGTGTATAAAAAGGGAGATATCACCGACGTAAAAAATTACCGTCCTATTTGTATTTTATCTGGTTTTTCCAAGCTCTTTGAATCTGTCCTGTATCCCGTAATCTCCAAATGTTTAGACGGCTGTATCATTGATGAGCAACATGGTTTTAGAAAAGGCCGTTCAATTCAAAGAAACCTCATGTCTGTTGTGACTGAAACATGTCAGGAACTAGATCGTAGCCTGATTGATGCCATATATTCTTTAGCAATGCCTTTGACAAAGTCAGTCACGCGTTACTGATTCAGAAGCTTCGTGGTTATGGAATGGGAGAGAATTTGCTGAACGACGTTTTGGGTACGATGTTTTCACCGTACGACCGAGTGTAAAATCTACACAGAAATGTCACCCTCAGCCTAAATCTTTCAGCAGGTTCTTTTAACTTATAGTTCCCTACTTCTAATCCGTCAATATTCACGTAGAAGTTTATCAGCGGCGGATTATAAAGAATTGATAATACCTTATCTTAATTACCGTCTGCACTTAAAGGAGGTTACATAGTCTGTCCTTATTGTTAAAACTATTACTTTGTCATTGATTAAATTTAAATACACCAAAATTATGTGAGGATAGGTTAGGTCTTAGTTTAAAGTCTATTGAAATGCAATTTTCTAAATCTACGAGCAATCTACTTAGATTAGCATTCTACGAGCGATACTCTAAGTCCTACGATTGAACACTGACTTCACTGTTCTATAGATGTCAGTACACGTAAGATCCTAGATATGATTGAAGGGTTTACAAAAAAATAGGGAACAGAAACAAATGAATTATATTCAGTCTTATATTTGAAAAACAAAATACAAGCAATGCCTATATTAATAATATAATTTAGAATATAGCACACTGCACACACTTTAATATATAACATTAAGCCTATGTTCAGATGGCAAAAACTTGACGCGCGTTTTCAAATCGCGCGACTAGAAATTGTGGTATTTTCATACAACTGTTCACATGAGCGCGCGTTAACGCGCGTCAACGCGGCGCTCAGAGAAAAAGTCTCTAGACGCAGGTGATCGCACGTTGACGCGCGCTTTGATATTAATGTAATGTCCGTTTGCTGTTCAGATGAGCGCGCGCTTTCATCGCGATCGCATGTAATTTTGTTAATTTTCGTAATTATATTTTGTTCTCGCATTTAAAATGAGTGAAATTGAAGATACTGACATCGACTTACTAATCGATGAAGTAGAAAAAAGGTCAGCAAGTTGGAATATAGCAAATTTGTATAAAAAATATAATATAATTTGTATTTTTTTCAAAATTGGATGAACCCAATGTGTACGTTTTCTTTTTCTATAAATTTCTTTATAATATAACCACAAAATAATAGCCTCTTCCACGTCCATTTTCTACGTTCTACCGAACTAGACTGACGAGCACTCTCGCAACGCGCGTTAGCGCTCATCATCTGAACGCTCTTCAATTTTGATCGCGCGTTGACGCGCGTTACCGCGCGTTACATGTGAACATAGCCTAAGCCTCGGAAACTTTTCGAATGTTTTATCCTTAGACGGTATCTAAAATCTAATTTGGTCAAATGAGTCAAAATGTATGATACGACGATAATATTATTGCAATTTATTGTCATTCAATTACACCTTATCACAATCTGTTGCAAATAAACAAACGCAACAAAATTTGAGGTTTATAATATGTGGATGAAACCGAAATAATATAAAAAAATATGTTACTAAAAGCATTAATAAAGAATACATAATACCACTTATATATATTATTGCGTATCTTGAGATATCGATAAAGACTGATGCCAATACGTAGTTACAGTGATCTTAAACCGTATCACGAAAGTGCCATGTCGTCTTACATAACTTCAGATATACGGTCTAAACTCTAAACAACGTCAATATACTATTATCATTGACAGAAATATTTTTCTTAAATTCATTCAGACATTCCGACTCCGTAAAAAGAAGAACACCTACCATTAACCTATAATAATTAGGGACTCAGTTTCGCAATATCAAATTATTATGACATCATATTCAGCTCGTTCAGCCTACGGTCAAAGATTTTCAGTACCTCGTAGCACAAACAATATACATAATCATGTCGTTATCGTCATAGAATGGAAAACTGGAGCATCGTATTTGAAACTAAAATGTCGATGTAACTGTATTCACGATAATTTCACTTCCCTAATAAAAAGGCATAAACCAAAGCCAAACACCCCTTTTATAAAAATTTAAAACTTAATAAGCAAGCAACTCTCCTTCAATCTTGAATTTTAATACCTACCTACCAAAAATGGAGAGTATAATTTTAAAGGCTGGGCTTCAATAAATTAATTAATCACAGTTCATAATCACTGCGTCTTGTCTATAATCTCAAACGCGCTATCTATTTCTTCTTCGGGTGATAACTCTGTACTATGTCGCCTTTTTGTGTCCGATTTCTGATCCACTGTTTTTTGCTTGTCTTGATGTTCCTGAAAAAAGACATAATGAACAAACTAAGCTAATTGGATACTGCTTTTTGACACAGCTCAACAGCTATATACCTATATCAATATTTACTATATATATATATAATTGCCACGTGTTAATAAGTATGTAAATGCAACCTTGTTTTAAGTTTTATCAAAATTTTAAGCCTTACTTAACTACTACCGTTTAATAGTGTTACCTAGTAAAGTTTAAAATGAGTTCGATCCAATCTAAAGCTAGGTACCTGTTTTCACTGCTACTTCACTGCACGAATCATTCGTTAACTTATGGAGTATTCGTAGATGAGTTTCACCAATCTTTATATACATAAATGAAAGATATTTTAATAGCGAATTTCTGTCGAATGTCAGCGTATCACAACAATTATCCCGAGTCTCACTTATTCCAGATTGATCAACCAATCCGTAAGCTAGAATTTGTTTGCCATCCGCAGACAAAAATATACATATCATGCTTGTCCCCCTTTTTCATAACTGACTTCAAAAGAAATTAAAATATTTCCCACCTGCCCATAAACCTCCAAAGACAACGATTGTCGTTTTTTGTTCGCCTGCCTCATTCTCCCCGATCTAGAAATAGACAACTTCCTTCTAAGGTCTGGTGATGGAACATCTTCCTCTTTGTCCTCAAACCGGGACTTACGTCTCTCTGACGTGTTAAATATAGATTTTATTATCTTGGCCATTTTTAGAGTACAATGTTGACACGCATTCCCTCTGAGCTTTGGCACAACCTTTAAAAATATTTAAGTTAAACTATTAGATTACAGTATTTATTATAAATACAAAAAGTTATACATTAAATGATTAACATAACTGACGAATCAAAAACAAGTAGGACTGAGTAAAATGTATAAAAAATATAGCCTACTCACCTAATCACCCATGTCTAACACAAACACAAAACAGTGTATTGTTTTCACTTATGTTTAAAATTTCTATTTGATTACGAACAAGGTGCAAGCAACAGTGCACTGTGTGATTATTTACCATACAATAGTGATAAGATAACACAATCACCAATATATAAGATAATATACATGATTATCATTATACGGCTAATGATATTTTCGCCTTTGATAAATGATTCGCGATGCCTATCAGTTGATTAAGTTACAATTTATGAAACAATTATTTTTATTCTGAAATACCACGACACTTTTTTGTTTCATTTTTATCAGAAACAGGCATTTACCTGCATTGCGTTTTATAAACGTTATAATTCTAGAATGGTCAGGTGGGTTGACAATATTCAAGTATGGCGCCGCCGTTATCTTACGCGAACTACTGTTAGTCACGTAATATAAACGTAACGTAACATAAACGTAACGTAACATAAACGTAACGTAACATATAAATATTTGATAGCTTACACGTAAATGTTATTTGGAATATGAATAGTGAACTCACACCATCACGCAACACGGGCGAATTAGTACTTAAACGTCAAATGTAAAAAATATATTTTTTACTTTGTACAATATATTATGTATTTCCATCATTGGCTATATCTTTAGTGTAATTATTTTTTGTTACATATAATTTAAATTAGCCGTAGGAGTACGAAATAAACATTAACATGATTTTGTTATTAACTGGTCCATTTGCGCTAATTAATTTCATCTGTGTGGTCATAAAGCTCGTACGTAGACGAACGTAGCCGTTCTGAATCTTGCCTGGGATACCTAAAAAAGGTCAAATCTTGAGATTAAATTTCCACTGGGTGAATGGTTTTCTTATTAATCAGAAAATAATGGTGTAAAATTAGTGAAAATTACATACTAAAAACAATGATTTTATTGTTATCAATAGATTTCTTAAGCAAGCAGATCAAAAAACTAAGGTCCTATTTTGTACAGTAGTCCTATCTCAATTGATTCGGCCACAGCACCCTTAGCACGAACAATAAATTGAATAGTTCGAAGAAAATAAATCGTAGTAAAATAATAAATACAAATTGTTTAAAAAAATTAAACGATTTAGACCTATAAGAAACATTATCGTGTTTGTGTATACAATTGACTTAAACACTTCACAAATGTTAGTAATAATATTGTGCAGTGTACAATTTATTAAATGAAAACTAAAAATATTTCATGAAACTTTATAATACAAAAAAAATACAAAATATGGTTTATTATACAATAAAATCCCGCCATCTCAACCGTAAACTAAACATTTTTACATTTATAAAATAGACATAGTATCTTATTTTTTTAATAAATTGTTAAGTATTTATCCTTCTTTTTTAATATAATTTTAACTCGAAATAAAACGCTATACAAGAAAATATTACGTAACAAGAATAATTGAAAGTCATTCTGTCAAAGCAAAATTTTAAAAAACCATAACAAAACTCAGTTTTTAATTTTCTAATTCAGCATATGATTCTTATATTATAAAAGTCATTATTTACATACTTTAAAGTGATTTTACAAAATTGAATCTAAGATGTCATGGTTGTGGAACACACTACATAAATTTTCTGAATTAAAAAGCTTTTTTTGCAAGATTTATTTTGGAGGAAACTAAGGTCATCTAGATTTTTAGCAGCCGCGTCCTTTTAAATTCATATTTATATTCAAAGCAATTAGCAATAGATCTTATATATAATATGCCAATGAATCAAATTATTAACACTTTTAATAAACGGTACGGTTTAAAAAATTGGGTTATAATTAATAGACTGAACAAAAAATTCATATTTTTAAATTTAGAACTAATCTTTCATCAGCAGGCTGAGAAGACAAAAGACGAAACTATGAGACGTTCCGTTTGATTGGTCCATAGAAGCGCCAGTCCAACCAGCATTGACAGGCGCCGTCATATGATATTACGTCCGTTTGTCCATCACAATCAAACGCACGGTTTCGTCTTTCGTACTTGACAGATAAGAATTTAGTTCGTGCTTTTAACTTGATTCTGATATTCTGAAATTGGTTTATGTGACTATTACTATAAGTTTTAATTACTAATGAAAAAGCTTTTATCTGTTAACAGCTAAAGATTGAATTATAAAGTTAATCATATGTCACACGCCCGTTAGACAAAGCATACATGACATAGTTGCCAGATTTAAAAATATTTACAAAATTTACTCTATGGTTAGAAAAAAACATTTTCATACAAAACCTTTTCGCTATGCGCTTTAAATTACAAAGATAACAATAAAATATGAAGAAACTAAGTTTTCTATTAGGGTTTAGTTTTTTAGAGTTTCAGTTATTATATTATAATAGTTTACTCTTGCATCATTATTTTCATACAGATAACATAGTCAAATAAATATAAAGCGTAACTCAAATAATGTTATCTTTCACTGGCATTATGTACAAGTGACAACTCGCTTCCAATATCGTATTTTAAATGTCACTTTGACAGTTGCCCACCTGCCAATCCCAAAGATATTCAGACTACTTGTTCCGAATCGTCTCTCGCAACAGAATCGGATTGCCCTTGATTCATACTTCTATACAACTTTAAATTTGACTCTGTGTAATCTAAGATTTTTCTACTGGATTGGCGAATGTACAACATCTGTTTGTGATATATTTTTAGTGCACCTTTTAATGTTATGTATGTGAGACCGCCTAAAATCGTTCTATGAAGGTTATTTTTGATTGAACGAAAGAAAATTTTGCCTATAATTGTTGAAATTGTGGGTACGAGTAGGGCTGAACAAAATATTCGGGTAGGAGATAGATGTGAAGTTGAGTTAGGTGATCCATTGTTCGGACTTGGCCCGGAAACAATTGCTCGCTCTTCATCCACACTGAAAAGTAATACAATTTTAAGAAATGTGTTCTTCAAGTCATACTGCAGCTAAAAAAAAGTGTGTGCGTGTGTACACAGTATACATGTCAGAAGTGAAACTTCTGTGGCAAACTAATCTTTAAGTGTTGTTCATATTTATACAAATCTAAAAGTTGAGATTTCCGATACTTAGAGGGACGGAAAAAGGAAGATATGTTAGGAATTTAATTGTCATTAAAATATTAAGTGTCGAATAATAAATAATATAGAAATTTTACCTAAAAATAAAATTTGTATTATGTTTCCTAAGACGTCCGAGGTCCATTGCCACAGCATGCATTTCCTTTAAATTGCAATGCCACTCAATCTGACTTTGAGTCCAAGAACCATTCAGGGGTTTGTTGTTGATTAGCGCTCCCCATTGTAGATCCGAGGCATCGGTGACAATGTAATTCACATGCCTTGTTTTGAAGTGAATCAGTGTTTTGTGACTGAGGTTATGCAAACACCATACCATGTCCTGATTCACCTCTGCAAGAGAACTCGGGCAAAGAGGAGCTCGCTCGTGCATTGCTGTGTCGCTGCAGCGTTCGGCATTGCAACCTTCCCCGGAGGGTTATGAAGGTCGCAAAATTGAGATACCCTAAGAGGCGTTGGGCCTGCCTGAGGGTCCAATTTGCCGACTGACAAGCGTGTAATCAGGCACTGACGAATTTTGATAACTTTTTCTGCGGGTAAGGACTTTGCATTTGATAGTGTGTCTCACATGATATCCAGAAAATCGATCGACCTCGTTGGAGTGCATATCGACTTCTCTAGATTTATGGTCCAGCCCAGGTTCTTCAAAAAGGGTCATGGCTATGAAAACCTGGGAGTTAAGAATTGTTCTGTCCTGGTGGACCAGTAAGTAATCGTCCAAGAAAACGATCACTCTTAAGCCCTGGCGGCGTTATAGCTCGGCTGTCCAATTTGTCACCGAAGCAAACATTTTCGGAGCTATGGCCAACCCAATAGGTAGACAAGTCATTTGAAGGAGCCTTCCCTCGTAACTGATACGCAGAAAGCAACGATGTTCGAGGGAAATCGGTACATGATAGTAGGATTGCCTGAGATCCAGCTTCACCATCCAATCGCCTTTTTGTAGGAAATTTGGCATTTGGTGGTGAAACAGATGAAAAGGTTCTGGTTTCATGAACCGATTGAAAGGTATTCAAGCGGAGGTTATTATTTTTAGAATGGAAAAAGGAGGTTTTAATTTCGCCCAATTTTTGTGATAGTTCCTTAAACATCCGCCCGAAAAGCCCATCGAGTCACTTATGTTGGTATTTATTTGGATTGTTATATTTGCGTCCCTCTTTTGATGTGAAACATCTATAGCCGCACGTAAAACCGATTTCTGGTGTGGCGACGCATGCCGTGGCGACGCCACGCTATATGATGGTATATATACAGTCTATATGCAGTAGTGTGTACGGTGTGTGTATTTCGAAGTCACTGATTAAACGAATTAAGTAGTCACGATTTGAAATAAATTCGTAAATTTTTGTATTTAAATGAAAATAAATGATTATTCAATAAATAGTCATCGTTATTTTAACAAAATAATGTCGATGTTTCACATCTGCCAGGCGTCCCGTGACGGCTCACATTTTTTCTTTTCGTGATCATCGAAGTTGTGACTCTTTTGTCCTTGCTTTGAGTTGCATCGGTTACCAAGAAAGGGCTTTTGACTAACCTGAGACGTTGAAGCTACAGGCGATTAAAAACGTATGCGTGATTTAACGCGTATTGTTTTAGATTGGTACCCGCGAATTCTGTCAATTTTGCCAATACTACCAACATTTTGTAAATATGTAGATAATATTTCAGGATTAAACATGTACTACGAAGAGGGGTGGGAATTTTATCTATATTTTCTCTAACATGTTTTTCAAGTTTGACCAAAACATTCTTGCAATTTATTATGTATAGAATTTAAATTAAGAACCGCGTTCGACTGAAGACCACTAAAACGCTACGTAACGCTTTATTGATAAACTCATTTTTAAATCGGTAAAAGCAGGAAAAGCAACGTTTTTCTTTTGTATATCAATATAACGTACACAGTTCAAATCAGAAATGTAAAAACCTCTGCATTGAAATTAATATTATAATTTATAACTCGGAGGTTCTAGAACCGACACGTCTAAATGCGCAATATCATTAAATACAGCCGCATGGTTCAAAAATGGGTCGTGTAGGTTTGCATTATTAGATTCGGTCACTTTATTTAACATGCTAGACGACGCAGCATAATTGTAAAAAAGTATTATTAAGGTGACTCACCAATTACTGCGACAATTGCTCAAACCTGAGAATAATCACGTGAATTACTGCGCACGTGGTTATTTCGTCTTTGTCGTGGCGGCGGTTCTTCTACCTCTTTACTCGTAGTCGAACTTTGCGAAGAACTCGGCTTGTCAGAACTTGCAGAGACAATATCTCCCGTGATATGAGACGGATTTGTAAAGTGCGCCAGTGGCCAACACATTTACACCGATTTTAGCACTTTCATTAGCCATTTTATATTTTTAACGTGAAAACCGAGTTTACCATTTTACGAAATAATTATTTCCACTTTGAAAATAAATTTTAGGTCGATATAACTTTGAATATACAGATTCGTTTTTAAGTATGCACTAGCGACTATGCAAGACGAAAAACGACGCAACAATGAACAAGAATTCTGGCGGCTTGCTTTAGCGCGGTAAAAAGTTAGTTCCAATTTCAAACGCTGGGCGCTGGCGGCGGTGACACGTGGTGGGAAAAGGTCGGATACTAGCGATTTGGGCGGAAACGGAAACGATGTACTCTTATAATGGACCTCGGACGTCAAACGGAACACATAATAAAAAATGTGACGGTAAATTTTTTCCAACGCCGATAAAGAAGTTTGACTTCAAAAAGCAACATGGCGCGTAACCGAAAAACGTGACGATTTGCTACAAAATTTATCCCATAGATTAGTAAATATCTAGTGGGTAAGCGTGTTTTAACTACATTAATTTTTATTGGAAGTGAGTAAGATTAAGGCAACCTTTACTAAATGATCTAGTATTGACAAAACGAAGAGTATAGCTCATAAAATACTTTGCATCGAGAATTGTAAATTTGTACGGGAACATACATGTTCAATTATATTTTGTATACACTTACTGGCCGAATGGTAATACATAAGAAAGCGCCGGTATCTTAGCACAGTACTTCCTGAGGAAGAATAGCACAGAGTCTTCCCAGTTGTACATCTTGGCGCCGATGAGGGTCACAGGAATCGTCGGCAACAGCACCAGCAGTACCAGAGGGTCTGCCGACTCCATCATTTCCAGACCCTCCCTATGGCCGACAACCTGGAAATTTTAGATTTATTCATATAGTAGGGGGTTATAATGTACGAATTATTAAAAACGCGTTTAGTTTGACTAAAATATACAAACGACGATGAATATTATTATGTAGCTGGCTTTTATATTAATTATTTGTTGTTACTCGTTACCGTGACTACACGCGTCTTTGGGAACAATTTTAATGGATTAAGGCTATTAAAAAGTGCGCTATCTAAGAAATAAATTTAAAAAAATATATATTATTTGTATTAAGTTTCGACACTCTTAATATTTTAATGACAATTAAATTCATTAAATTCCTAACATACCCTACTTTCTACCTCCCTCTAAGTGTCGGAAATCTAAATTTTTAGATTTGTATAAATATGAACAAGAGTTAAAAATTAGTTTGCCAAAGAAGTTTCATTTCTGACATATGTACTTTTTTATTTATTGCACTTATTTTCTTTGATATTAATTCAAGCGTTTTCTTTGATATTAATACAGTCTACCACTCTACCAGACTCAGACTGACACGCCTTTATACATAGTTTGTCTCACTCTAACGCGTACCCGCTGAACCAGCCGCGCTAACGATACGTCACCGATCTTTTTTTTTTTATTATCTCGTCAGAGAGATGTGAATACGCAGTATGCGTTCCGTCCCACTCTAACGCACCTGCCCTACGTCATAGCACCGCAGTGCTAGGGCTTAGCTTGAAAATAAAGAACCGCATATCAGTATGTTAAGTCGTAATAGTTAATTCTTCCTTTTAACCTTTGGATTGACATAATCGGTTTTATTATAGATATATCTTAAACAATTTACATAGGAGCAGAATACAATAAAATGGATCTAGTGTAATAGGATGAGGGTAGAAACAAAAAGGAGACACGGACGGTGATTGCCGTAGATTGGACGTGTTAAAGATATAAATTGTGTCTTGTGTAATATCAAATTTGGGATTTTGAATTTCGGTCATAACTTGAGGGCTTTGGGAAATGCCCTCAAATTAGATGTTCATTTATTGAATAACAAATTGACTATAATGTTTATGTGATAATGTGGTAAACATATATTAGGTTTGGCAGGATAAACCTAAATCCTCCTGGCGCCCACATTTATGTATTTTTTAGTTAATTTTAAGATTTAGTCTAATATATTTTAGTTATTGTATTTTGCTAGTTTATAAATATCCTAATATATGCTAATTTGTTTTATTTATGTTAAAGACCCATAACACTAGAAAAATAAAAAATTATAGCACAGAAGTAATTGACGTTAATGTAATTTTTAAAATAAAAAAAAACGCAATACAATTTCGTTCTACTATAACACATTGAGTAATAAAGTAAAATATGTATACATTCTGGCATAATTTATAGTAATTTGATGTATACTAATATTATTTTAATTACTTATTATGTCGTAAATAAGATAATGCCATTAAAATTACTGCAGGCCCTTAAGGAACTTTCTCTAAACTGCGTCGAACATAGCTAATCTCTCAAGGGTTTAAAGCTTCTCATTGAATGTCACAAAGTACAAAAACCAATGAAGTTCAAGGAACTCATTTACCGACAAAGGATAACGGTTATATGTCAAACCGTTACTCATATTTAATGATCGCACTTAGCGTTGATATATGAAAAAAAACCGGTAATACTAGTGTGCGATCACGAAGGTTTAGTGACCTACATTCTGTCTTCGAGAGATGATTATTTAACACCTATTTTACTAATATATCTTACGCATCATCGGGACGACAGACGCAACGACGTTTTAAAAACGGTGATGTCAATTGATGAGTATGTCTGAAAATTGTCTTCAAAGATTTCGATTAAAGCTACAGAAGAAGCTAAGTTAACAGTCTGGTAGTGTACTTGGTGATTTTATTTTCCTACCAATAATTTTCGTCAAAGATTACGAATATTTATTTAATTTTTGTTTTCATACATCACACATGGTACAAAATGACATTAGAGCTTAAGAAGGCGCAGGGCTAACCTGATCCATGCAACTTTCTCACAATCGAGTAGCCCGAGTAGCCCTCAATAATAAATAATCACAAACACAACATCAAAAACATTTATATATATATATATATTTTGGCTTAATGTGGGCTTAAATTGCATGTCTTTCATACTTCCAAAAATACCATATATTGTTATTATAATTCACTTTCATAGCAACTTTCATTAAATATGCTAATTAACATTTTTATCAAAATGAGTGCAATCCCACTTTATACAAATTAAAGTCTTGAACTATGTGTAGTTAATATAGGCTTTAGTTTAAAAGGATGTTCACAATATTAACATTCATAGACATTGTGTGTAATCGGAAGAAGCAAAGTATTTATTTAATTTGTAAAATAAAACATATTAGATTTGTTAAAAGTTAAATACACGGAACCAACTTAGCTGTATGACATATCAATTACATTGATTATGGTCAAGTTAATTTTATGCACACGCACAATTACAATCAATATTTATACACATTGTAAATGAAAACCAGTTAATTTATGTATTTAAGTATTTACAACAGAAAATGTTGTAACAGAAATGCTTGCTTAAAGGAAGAAGTGTAGAAATTGATGTTGAAAGCAGTATTCAAACACAAACAATACCAGATTACTAAATTAACTATAGTCCGCTCATCCCTGAAGCAATAGTTTTTGCAACAGTTAAATATGCTATATTTCATATAAGAATTGTTTTTTTTTTCAATATTTTGTACGGGGTGTAACTTAAGCTACATAAAAGTGTCACCATTTTAAACAAAGAAATTTTATTTTTATTATTTGGCATATAACTAAGCTTGTATCATAATTAAATTATAAAAAAAAACTTATTGTATGGTTTTATCCTACCTGCATAACAGTCACTGCACCATATGTAATAGCAATCCAGTAAATAGATCCTAGCAACACACCCCCAAGAATGAATGGACTGATTCTGCGTGTGATATCTTCTATAGCATCCAGCAAAATCACAAATGCTCCCATAGATGGGAATACCACTATGTATTCTACTTTGCATTGTGGGCAGAGAACTTTCCTACTAATATTGCCTCTCTGTTTTTCATCTACCCATCGCTGGAGACAACTTTGGTGGACCTGAAAATGTTGGTATTTGAATTAGGAATAGTTTATACAATCCATCTAGGTTTAGGATAGTAAACTACTTTGCAAGTACTTTTTACTTTTCTTTATTTGTAATATTTTTGTTGCTTTCACCAAATAGACAAACTATTTGTTTTAAGACATATTTTTGGTATCATGATGAAACAGTCAACAATAAATCATAGTGGTATTATCTTAATATACTTTACATAAATAAAGGAACATAAATTCTGATGCAAGTGCATTGCTCTTGCAACAATGACTGTTATTGAAATTATGTGATGATGTGAAAATTATCTTTTCTTTTTATCTTTGATTACAAAGAAATCAGGTTAATGATCTGCACAGGCAAAATTAGGTTTAAAAATTAATGTATCAATCAAATATAAAAGAACATTTTTAATATTTGATATGATATATATAATATCTTGATTGATAATTGAAAAAAAAAACTACATCTGGGTAAAACAGTTTTAAATCTGTAGTCTGTCCTTTCTTTTTTTACAACCAGGACTCCACTAATTTCTACTTTTAGATCCTCAGGATCCTAGAAACCACATAAATTAGATTTTACAGACATACAAATGTAGAGTTATGCTTATCTAGATTCATATTAAACGTGAATGTGTTTCTTTGTATCTTGTGCAGATTTCTCCATAAATTTGTCTTAACTGCAATTGGTTTTTTCTATGCTAGAAGCTAATAATTTCCAAAATAGAAAGCTATATATGTAATATCAAAAAATTTATGTAACTTGCATAAAATTTTAACTAACAGTAGGTTTGAGTATTTACCACTACTCAAATACTCAATGTGTAACATACAAAATACTCTACTATAATATCTCTATATTCTCACTTCACTCCCCTTCAGTGTTTTATTGTATAAGTTAAATGTTGGAGCAGCCAAATAAAATCCACATTTCACTTACCCATTTTGTTGTACCAATACACTTGCAAGGTTGTACCCAAGCGGCCAGTTTATCATCATGTTCGGTGGCAAAACAAACCCAACACGATTTGAGATTTTCGTCATCTGTTGGCTCCAAAGTTGTTTCGGACATGTTATCCTTGTCTTCTCTTGCCATTAGACAAAAACTTTTTTTCACGAATTGTGAGACCTGTTGTCAAATTTAACAACATAAACGGAAAAGAATATTTCCTACGGTGTGGTAGTCAAAATAAATATGTGATTGATGGAAGAAAACAACCATTAACAATTGTAGGTCTGTCGGTCTGTATTCTGCATTACACAAATTTAACTGGCTATTGGCTAATTGACGTATCAATATAATAGGAGAAGCCACTCTTACCCTAAATTTGACGCTATATTAGATGCAACGCCCTCTTAAGTTCTGGCCTTAAACTAAAACGAAAATATAATGTAGTTGGTTATATTTTATGTATTTAATATTTTTTTATTAAATTCAGTTTATTTCTATTAATCTTATAAGAAATTAATACAATTTTATAAATATAACGTTCCTTATGTGCTTAATCAGTTAACCGACTTAATTTATCAGAACTTACTTTGTAGGCAGAATTATTATGTTTCAGTCAGTCAATCAGAAACGAAACCAAGAGAACCCAACCCAACCCCGTAGCGCAAACTAGGGGTATGTGTTATATTTTATATACTTTAAAGTATTATAATTTACTGCTTTATCATGATATCATGTAACGAGAAGCATGTTGGAATAGTTGTAGGTTTTTTTTTAATAGCTTCACGCAGAGCGTATTGCCACAGACAAAGGTAAGGAGAATAGTCAAGAAAAAGAGTTTTACATACCTAGTTGTAGGTTAGCAAAAATGTTGTCCTTGTCTGCTGCTACGTTAAGAACAAGATTGCTAAATAGACAAACAAAGGGATGTCTTTATCCTCTAAGTTTTAAGGCCACCGTTATGCGTAAAATGGAGATAATTTGAATATTGTCGCTTTTATTTTTATGTTACTTACTTTTTTTTTTTTTAATGGCTGGCACGGTTTGTGCATTAGCCAGCGTCAAGTATAGGATTTTTTATAATTCGTGCTTGTCTTTAGAAATTCGACCGTGTCCTCCATGTACGGTTTAGGCACTCGCCCGGTACCGCACAACCCTCCCAAAGGCCGAGAACAAATTTAAATTAAATTAAAACTTGCCCTCGAACCGGGAATCGAACCCGGTACCCCTCACCTAGCTGCCACTTAATGAGACCGCTAGGCTATGAGGCCCCTTATTTTTATGTTGGTTGGCAGAAGTTTTTTTATTTTTAATTATGATGGCAAACGTGGATCTGCCATAGAAGGCAACTACCGCAGCCCATCGATGGCCATATTAGGGGCTACGATCCTTGGGCAGGAGTATGCTTCTTTTTTATAATTTGGTGTCGTATCTCCCTGGGAACACCTCCACTAGAAGCCGATTCCACAGATTGCTAGTTCTCATAAAGATATACCTATAGAAGCGGATTGGACTATCAGGCATCAAGGTGGTGCGGCTGAAACCTGAATTATTTCGACTCGTGCGATAATGCAACGATGCAGCAGAAATCAGCTCAAACAATTATTCAGAACATTGCATGGTATACTGACTATAATAAAATAGTGACACAATGTTCCTGCGTAGAGAGAAAGGATCAAGCTGGTTTGTAATAGGTTGACTGAATTTATAAGTGTTTCATATGAGGTTGTAATTTAGACTTAAAGATTTGCATAAGTTGTACCCAAGTTTAATCTTGCTAATCATGACATCATAATAAAAGAAATCTATGAAAATCAAACTGTAAATGGTAATTTAATTAGTGTTTTATAAAAATATTCAATCAAAATAAACTTTAAATAAATATTTTTTTGAAACCAAAACCAAAATTTATAATGGTACCATAGTAAATCAACATGCTGATATATGATATTCGAACACTCCACTTCGACTTCTTAAATCGATTTTAGTTTTCGTACCAAAAACTAGATGGCACTTGTTTCTTCGTAAAATGATAGCTCGGTATAACTATCCCTAGTGTCCTATTTGTCGAAAGCAAGTCAGTCTACTGAGTAGTGAGTATAAAGTGACCTCACAGTCCATCAGCTTTCGTATCAGCCAATGCCAACAATGGCACTATCTGCGAAAATGAGAAAGCGCTTTACAAAAGAAGCAAACAGCTTTATTTTTTTTTTTTTAATTTATTTATTAGCCGGATACAAAGTCCATTGGCACTTTAAAAAAAGGTATAACAAAATATCTTACACAAATAACTATACTAACTTAACATAAAATACAATCAATATAAAACAATGGTGAGCTTTAAATTTTCTCAACTGTGTTTTTTATATAATAGTAAATAGCTTTGAATAGAACTGGACATTTCAGTAAATCTTGGACACGGCGGGGAATTTCTATTTGTGATGGTTGACATTGATGACTACCATTTGCAGTGACTGATGAGTCTAAAACTGATCTTGTCGGGTTATTTGCTAAAGAATTTCCAAGTTTAGTCCGATTATTCTCATCAAAATCCATCAACTTCATAATATCCGTTACTAGTATTAATCGTTGAAATTTAAAGGTCGGGCAACTCAAGATGAGGTGGGATAAGTCGGCCTCATTTCCTCCACAGTATGTACATCTGTTATTATTTATAATTTTAAAACGAAATAAATGGCTTGGAGTCTGACAGTGGCCAAACCTCAAACGATTAATAATGGTTATAAATTTACGTTCATTGGCTCCTTTGTATTTATCATACCAAGGTTTACATGGGAGTTCCTTTTGGATCTCTGCATACCAACTACCTTTATGCTGTGAGGATAATTTCCAATAGCTTTCCCATAACTTGCGACTTCTTTGTTTTAAGTCGAAAAGAAAATCCGTAAAAGGAACTCTGCATGTAATACTATGATCCTCATCATAATTAGAATTGACGATACCATCTACAATATCATTTCCCTTGATACCCCTATGAGAGGGCACCCATTTAAATGTTACTGGAGTATCCAAAGATATCAATGCTTCTCTAATTTTATACAATAAATAATTATTTCTATAATAAGTATGACATTTGTCTAAAGCCATTAACACACTTTTTGAATCTGAAATTATTAGGAAGGCCATGTAGTTATCGTTATTTTGTAAACTTTGTAAGTACAATACAACTTGATAGATAGCATAAGCTTCAGCTGTAAATATGCTGCAAGTATTACTTAACATAAAACATTTTGAGGTTTTAGCCTGAGGATCATAGTAACCCGATTTCACTGCAGATGAAGATTTAGACCCATCAGTGTAGACTTTGTAACTGTTAGGCTTGGTACAGCAATAATCCAGAAAGTCTATATTATCTACTACACTGGACATATCTATATTTAATTTACACATAAGAGCTTTATATTTACAGAGATATACAGGCCATAGTTCAGATTTGTACATATTATCAGATAAATCAGTCATAAAGCTCATAATTCCCAATAATTCAGGGATCTGGTTATTGAGAACATTAGTCGCTGTTATACTTGAAGGCAAATCTGGTGTATTAGTGATAGTTATAGAATAAGAAAGTTTTGGAAGAAGAACATCATTCTGAGAAGTTATCACTTTCAGGCAAAATTTTTCAGCAATTAATACTCGCCGAATACATAGTGGTTCTACACATGACTCAACCTCCATAGAATTGATAGGAGTGGTACGCATTGCACCAGTAACAATTCTAAGAGCAATATTTTGGATAACATCAAGCTTTTTTAATAATACAGGACTAATATTCATATATGCCAGACAACTATAATCAAAATGACTACGTACTAAGCTTTTATATAATAAACAAAGAATTTTTGGATCAGAACCCCAAAAAGTTCCTGCTAAGGACCGCAAAATATTGATACCTTTCAAAGCTCTACTACAAATATAGTCAATGTGTTTGGTAAACTTTAATTTAGTGTCAAAAATTACACCAAGAAACTTTTTTCGCTATTTTGAGGGATTAAATTATTGTTATACTTAACATTTACATTAGTATCAATACCATAAGCTAAAACTGAACTTTTACTACTATTTATATTTAATTTAAGTATCTCAGTATAATAGTAGTTAAGTTGACATAAAGCTGAATTAACTTTTGCTTGAGTAACCTGTAAATTACTGCCTACACTATATATTAAGATGTCATCAGCAAATTGTAATATTTTTTACAGATTCAGTCACATATGTATATATTTGTGAAGTATAAAGGTTATACAGGATTGGAGATAAAGAAGACCCTTGCATCAACCCCTTGAATGCTAATTTTGGACCATGAAAAACATTATTGTATTTAATGTATAAAGAACGACCATAATACATATGGAAAATCCATTTTAAAAGCTTTCCTGGGAAGCCCAAAGAATATAGCACCTTAATTAATTGGTGAAGATCTACATTATCATATGCCCCCTGAACATCAAGGAAAACACAAATTGCAGTAGAACCTGATAACAAACACTTCTTCATATCAGTCAGGTAAGCTATAAAACTTTCTGCTGCACTTTTGCCTTTTCTGAATCCAAACTGACAAGAAGGAATAAGTTTCTGGTTTTCAACAAAATAGTCCAGTCTAATCTTAATCATTTGCTCAAACAATTTCCCTACACAAGATGTAAGAGAAATGGGTCTGTACGAATTAAAATGATCATTGGGTTTGTCAGGTTTTAACACTGGTATGACACATTGCAACCTCCAGGATTCTGGAATCAATTGCTGAGACCAAAGCGAATTTAAAATATTAAGTAGAATATGTTTTACAGAAACATGTAGATTTTGAAGCATAATATAAGGAATATCGTCAAGACCAGGAGTTGTATTCTTTCTTGAAGACAAAGCCATGTCAAGTTCTTCAAAACAAAAAGAGTTAAGTAGAAACTTGCTCCACTGACTTCCATCATTAAATTCGAATAAACCAGAAATATTATCGTTGTTATTACTAGATTGCCCTAACTTCTCTAAAAAACTTGCTATCCACTCATCATTTTTGGACACATTTCTATTAATGTTAATTCTCTTAAATCTTCTAATAAAATTCCACACTCGGGATACTGGAGTGAATCTATTAAAAGACGAACAAAGACTTTTCCAACTGTCTT